GCCTAGGTTTCTGGTGCTAGCATGGAGAAGCATTTCCTCCAGGAAAGAATCTATTGATAGGGCTTTGTGTGAAGGTTCAGCTATAAGAAGGAGCAACCCAAGAGAAGCCCAATCTGTCCTGGAATAATCCTATGACCCCCAGAATGAGGTCCATCACTCAGCTCCCACCTTCGCCTGGATGTGTAGGAACAGAGGAGAATATATTCTGGGTCACCTGTGCTGATCTCTGTAGGCGTGTCCTCCTCTATGGACGTCCTCCTCATTCCGGCCTCCTCCGTATATCGCTGATCATCCCTCACATACGTCTCTTCTACTTCACCCTCAACTTTCATCTTCATCAGATCTTCACCCTAAACCAACAGAACGGCAGAAAGTCTCATCTGTGACATAGAAGTATTTATGATGTGACATCACATAGAAGATCTCATCTTGTAGAGTCCACACGTCATCTCCACATGTCAGAGCGTCCCATCACTTTATGTTCCCGCCCCCTCAACTCCACCTACCTGATCATGGTGGGGGACGGTGAGATCTTCCTGGGTGGAGTCCCGGGAATACAGAGGACGGGGACATCTCTCTGGTGGGTTCTTCATATCCTTGTGTTCTTCAGAAAGTTCCTTCATCACTCCGTACTCCTCATCCTCCTCCTTATACTCTTCTTTAACTACTATATTATAATCTCCGAGGTCTCCACTCTGAAAATAAAACATTAATTGTTAAAGTATACCCGAGTATAAGTCATTACTACCAGTGATTGTCCATCATCTACCTGATCATGGTGGGGGATGGTGAGATCTTCCTGGGTGGAGTCCTGGGAATACAGGGGGCGGGGACATCTCTCTGGTGGGTTCCTCTTACTGGATCCATCTGTAGGAGACACACACACTGACTGAATACATTGTTTCTATGTGTGTATCAGATGATGGGGGATGTAGGCGGAGCCTCCGTACTGCTCTCTCCTCTTACCCGGTGATGTGAGGGGCGGGGCATTCTCCATCACCACATCCTTGTAGAGATCCCGGTGTCCTTCTAGACACTCCCACTCCTCCTTGCTGGATAAGCTCTTATAATTACCGGCACCATTGACCTCTCCCGTCAGCAGCTCAATAATCTTCTTGGTGACTTCTAGAATCTTCCCCATGTTGGGTCTCTTCGGGGTCAGGGAGTCACATGGGGGCACTGTGATGGTCAGATGGTCACCGGACTTCACAGGAGGCAAACTCTGTATAGAAACACCGACAATATCATAGGACGTTCCCAGAATCCTCCTCACCTCTCCGGTCAGGTCTGCGTATTATGAATAGAGATAAGAGTGATGTCATGTGACCTCCCAGCATCCTCATGGTCCTCCTCCATCTTCATTCATGTGACCTGTGGAGGTCTCTCTGTAGGAGGATAGGTGAGAATGATCTGGGCTGGTTGTACAATGTTAGGATGGGGGATGGTCAATATGATGGTTGATGGACCTTTTAGCACTGTCAGCAGAGGAGGAGACAGTCTGGACAGCTTGGCTTTTGCTCTTGGGCCCGGGACCAGCTATCCCTTTGGTCTGATTGTGTGATCAGGAATGTCATTATCCAAGGAGCACTAATTGGACCATCTTCTGTCCTCATTACTGTGTGATCAGTGGAGGGTCAGGGTGGTCTAAGGGTTGAGTCTCTGTTGAGGTCTGGTGTCCCTGGGTGCAGAGACGTTCACCTCCAGCAGCCACCATTGGAAGACTCTTCATGTACACTGCTGGGACTTGGGTGCCCTCAGGACTTAAGCCTCTGAGTATCGGAAGCAGGAGGCCTTCCCTAACGTAGATGAGCAAAGGCCTGGAGTAGTCAGTGGTGGGTAGCCAAGGTCCTACATGTAGTCCCGTATCACGCCTTCCAATATTTTACACACTATTGATGTGAAGCTGACTGGCTGGTAGTTCCCCGGTGCACTTCTTTTCCCCTTTTTATATATTGGTACCACACAGGCTTTCCGTCAATCAGCCGTGACCATACCTGTCATTAGAGTGTCCATAAAGATTATATACAAGGGTCTGGTACAACCTAAGTTCTTTGAGTATCCGTGGATGTAACCTGTCATTGGAGTGTTCATAAAGATTATATACAAGGGTCTGGCTACGACCTGATTAAGTTCTTTGAGTACTATTACTATGACCTAAGTTCCTTGAGTACCTGTGGATGTAACCCATCATTAGAGTGTTCATAAAGATTATATACAAGGGTCTGGCTATGACCTAAGTTCTTTGAGTACCCGTGGATGTAACCTGTCATTGGAGTGTTCATAAAGATTATATACAAGGGTCTGGCTATGACCTGATTAAGTTCTTTGAGTACTATTACTATGACCTAAGTTCCTTGAGTACCTGTGGATGTAACCCATCATTAGAGTGTTCATAGAGATTATATACAAGGGTCTGGCTATGACTATGACCTAAGTTCCTTGAGTACCCGTGGATGTAACCTGTCATTAGAGTGTTGATGAACATTATATACAAGGGTCTGGCTATGACTATGACCTAAGTTCCTTGAGTACCCGTGGATGTAACCCATCACTGGAGTGTTCATAAAGATTATAGACAAGGGTCTGGCTATGACTATGACCTAAGTTCCTTGAGTACCCGTGGATGTAACCATGTCATTAGAGTGTCCATAAAGATTATATACAGGGGTCTGGCTATGACCTGATTAAGTTCCTTGAGTACCCGTGGATGTAACCCATCATTAAGAGTGTTCATAGAGATTATATACAAGGGTCTGGCTATGACTATGACCTAAGTTCCTTGAGTACCCGTGGATGTAACCCATCATTAGAGTGTCCATAAAGATTATATACAAGGATCTGGCTATGAACGGTTTAAGTTCCTTGAGTACCCGTGGATGTAACCCGTCATTGGGGTGTTCATAAAGATTATATACAAGGGTCTGGCTATGACTATGACCTAAGTTCCTTGAGTACCCGTGGATGTAACCCGTCATTAGAGTGTTGATGAACATTATATACAAGGG